TTTGAATACATCCAACATTCAAAAATACATGGCATGATTCACTAAAAGGATTTGATTAGTTTTAATTGCACTCATCTATTCCTCTATACCTCTATACAAATGGGAGAACAAAGATTCACTATTCATGCTACAGTAACTAGGGAACGGTACTGTAGCATTTTTGAAAAAAATTTGCGGCATACGGAAGCAAGATAACATTTTTAGACAGTACTGTAGCAGAGTATCTAAAATATTGCGGCGTACGGAAGCAAGATAACATTTTTAGAAAGTACGGTAGCAGAGCGAGATACTGTAGCAGTTCAAAAAATATTATATCATTTAGAATGGGATTACTGTAGCAGGGAAAAAAGATATGCCGTGCTTTGCACGGTGTTCACACTAGTTATAGATAAAGGAAAACCCTTAAATACACTATATTCTTTTAAATAAAATATATTATTTCACGCTTGATTCCGATATCTCACTGATTGCAGCTATAACATGATTCAGGGGACAATTTATTGAGATTGTTCGAGACTATTGTCATGGAAAAACATAGTTTCAATAATTTGATGCCCCACTAGAACATAGTTTCAATAATTTGACGCCCCACTAGATTCGGTTTCTTATAAGAACAAAGAGATCCCACAATAAATAAAAAGAAGATAGTGATGGTGATGACCAAATGTAAGTGAAATAACAGAATAGAAAGTAATTGACAGTCTTTCAGCAAATGTATGGGCTTTAGAGCAAAATCCTGAAAGAAATATCCAAATAAATATTGATGAGTCCAGTACTGTCAGAGACATTTAACTCCTAAAAGCTAAAATATCTGGTCATTTTCATCTGTATCAGTATCGACAGGTGTAAATTATGTGGCTCATAGTCCCCAACATTCGGGGCAAAACATTAAAAACGAGAAACTGGTAACAGTAAGAAAGAAATAATTGCAACAGCGGCATATCTTTTCACTTCACCAACTGCAACTAAGGATAGTGAGGAGTAACTTTAAAAGAATATTCTTTTCAAAGATATAATGAAACCTCCAGATTGGCTTTCCTTGATCTAAATGGATTTACATGATGATCATTTGATTGGACACGATTATGCAAATTAAATTATGTTCACTGCTAGAACTAGAATCTCATTTATATCTTATAAAATAATAATTGCTACAAATACTACATAAAAGAAATCAACATGAGAAGTCATGCAACACTTATCTTTAATTGATTTATAAGATGGAAAAAGTAAACAAAAGGAATCAACATACTTTAGCGAAAGGATGCTAAAACATTGTTGGCAGAGAGAGACACTACTCCTTCCTTGACAGGACTAATTTAAGAGCAAGACCTTAGCTGTTAAAGCTAGAATACCAACAAACAGAAATGGGAGAAAAAGAATAAAACAGAGATCACTTATTTTATTCTAAGTGATCTTACAAAGCCTGTTCATGTATGACATAATTCGGGTATGATCATAGAAAAGATTCTCCTCAAGCGAACCAGCCTATCCTATGCTATATAAGGGGATTTACATAGTGGTTGGATGGAGAGACATATTTGGTTGTGATTCCAACGTGGCGGATAAAATCATACATCAGCACAGCCCAATCAATAGTTCAAGTCACGCACTCCCATAATCCATCCTCTCTTCGGAGAATCCACTTCAACTACTTCAACTATTTTTATCAATAAAAACATACAATACTTTGGAGTTGAAGAGAAATATCCAAATAACATGTCTTATTTTTTCAATAACACATATCTGTAGCAATGAAATACTATTGGTCCTCCCCAATATGATACATGATAAATTACAAATATTTATCATCTGCCTTTTCTATACTCTATAAAGGACCCAAAATACCTTGCTTACGTATCATTAAAAGAAATTCAAATAAAAAACAAGCCTTGTTTGGAAATTATTATATACAGACAACCAGAGTACAACATGATATGTATAGCATATACTTATTATAAATATAAAACATGTATTGTGTCATTTACCTGTATGCAGTTATTGGAGCATCTGGATTTGCTTGCCTTGGCATTAAATCCATTGCTCGGCCTTCATTTATCATGTTTAATGCCAAGTCTATCATTTCAGCAGTTTCTGGAAGAGTTGCTCTATATTCTCGGTCACTAACAGGAGCCTGATCAGAATCTATTGAGTCATATATCCTCAGAAGATAGAAATTGCGTAGAACTTCAGCAAGCAAGTTTATCCAAAAAAACAGTTAAAAGATCATTGCATCTGTAAGAGTTTCATTATTCGTTCTACAATTTCAGCCAGGATCCTGTCATTGGTTACCCCAAATAAATCATTGGACTTTTAATGCAGGCATATAAGTACTGGAGCCTGTTTCTTTTATTGATATGGTAATGCTTTATGTAACACAATATTTTTCAATATTGATGTATTGACTGTTCTCAGTAGAAGGATTCCATGTGTGCCCCAATATATATAACAAATTCTTTGAGTAATGGCTGTAACACCAGCACGTCTAATATAGCTTCCTACTAGAAGTTATAAACTATCTTAAATTTTATAAATTATATCTTCATAAGATATGAACATAACATTAACAACTTTTGCAAAAAAATATCCAATTTATGATCTTAAAATATCTTTATTGACATCTCATGACTACTGTTTTTCGCTTCATCCTATTTTTCTTTTCTCAGAAGAAAAAAAAATAAAAGAAAAAATTCTCTTTCGTTGAATACAGCACATAGGCATGAAAAATAGCCTAAACATGATAATAACAACCTTTAATTGCGGCTGCTATTGCAAAGCAGAACTAATTTATCATGCTAAAATTGTAAGCTGTAAAACTAAATGAATCATGTTAATAAACAATTAGTAGACCAGATAATGAGGACAGCTAATCAATAGTTTCAAGAGTTAAATTTTATTAGACAGATGCGCAACAAAATAGTTTTCACAAAAATAAAACAGTTGATCAACATGTTCTGCTTTCTTTTTCTTTGCCATGATTAAGAACTAAAATTGCTTTTCACATGATGGTTCAGTTTCCTTTCATCTACATGGTTTTGATTTTTCTAAAATACTAGCAGAAGCAAGTTGACATGGTCCAAATTTGCAATTCAAAGCTGAAGTTATGGGTCTCTTCATAATATGAAATTTGAAGAAAAAGCAGGAAGTGAGGGGATCTTATCCAAAATTCCTACATTTTCATGCCTGGCACATGGAATTTGGGGGAAAAAGAGTAGAGCTTCAAGATTAAATTGAGATCCAACTTCCATATGGGATGATTTTCTAACTCTAGGGATAGGAAGACAAGGAAGGAAAACTTCTGAATCCTTTTGAACTATTGCTTGGGTTTCTCTCCCGCTATTTTCTAAATTAAAGGAGAGAGAAAATAAATAATCGCGCACCCTAAGCTTCCTCATATTAAGTTCCCATATGCCAGAAAATAATGAATTTTCATTTCTTCTGTTTTCTATCGATATAAGTTATAAAGGGTAGATATTCTATTCTCTTTTTCTTTCTTTGAATTCCATGTGCCCACATAGACAATGCATGGTCATGTGTGTTTGTGGGTGAATCACAGATTGCACATGCATGCATCGATATACATAAAGGTATGTGTTTTTGTGTAGAGAGACAGAATAGAACTAGAAGCTATTTGGACTATACAAACTATAAGAGGGTTATCACTTATCAGTATCAAACTGACTGACTTTCTTCTCCCAAACCTACAAATTTGGAAAATGGCCATAATATTTTCAAAACAGGAAACATTGTCTTGATATCTAACCTGACCTAAACTTTTTGGGAAAGTGATAAATCTTATGGCATGGGCCCCATAGCCTCTACATGCATCAATTAGGGGATCAACCAGTTTTCTTTTGGTGAACCAAAGAGGTTATTGATTAAAAGAAAAAGATAAGAACCCATTGAAACCTCATCTTAGACTAAAATAGAGGATCATGCATGTTAGTCAACTGAGGGAGGGTAGAAGACTACTAAAGACCAGCTAATTGCATTTTCGGACTGGGCAACCTTCTCAAATTCTATTTACTTTGATTCTATTATCCGGCTCGCTTCTTTATCTATAATCCAGTTTTCGCAAAAACGCTTAAGCTATGAGGTCCAGACAATGGTGCTTATTAATTTGAATAGTATCCAACTGGCTAAATCATGTTAGCGGTTAAGAGGTCCAGACTTCAATCCTTCCCTTGCTTGCCAATTACTGCAATTGATGTTCAAGATAAAAAATAATTACACCTATTTTCATGCAGAAGATTGTGAAACAATCCTACCATTTGTTGGTTAAATGCCTATAGATGAAAACATGTAAAGAATATCCAAATGGCCCCAAAAAAAACCTGTAAAATTGCTCCACGAACAGCTCTAGAGAATGCCAAATTTGTACGCATGTAATGTACAATATCCTGTATGCATGTCCAGGGAGTTGCAGAGTTAGATTTATTCTCTAGATATTAACAGAAAGTTATTTGAACTAAACTTCAATCAGTGAGAAAAAACTCAATTTGGCTGTACCTGGCAACCAGTACTGTGTCCCAGTAGTACAACGCCCTCGGAATTTTCCTTGTTAATTAAATAACCAATAAGCTGATCAAGCTCCAAGGCATCCTTCAAGTAAAATTTGTAGAATATACATTCAGACTATGAGCAAACGAAGGGAAATTTTACTAAAGACTATTCTGCAGGAATAAATCTATAACTAAACTCATTTTCAGTGTAAACACTGCACTAGAGGTTCCTATCAGAAGAAGTGGTTGGCATGCCAACTTTAGATTGTAGAAGTGTAATATATTTCTGTGTATTTTAATCAACACTGTTTGCAATGCAACAGCTCCACCGTTGCTGCCGTACCAACAGAAAGCTAAGTTTGGTTTGGAGAGGAAGATAAAGAAAGAAAGGGAAAACTATAGGAAAGGGGCATTCCCTTTTGTTTGGAAGTTTGTACAAAGGGTTTACAGTTACATGGCAATATTCCTCTCAATAATCCAGAGATATGGGAACATGAAAGGAAGCATCCTACTCCAGCTTCCTCAGATTTAATGTAGGCGATCAAGGCTTCAAGAAATATTCAAGAGAGACATGGAGAAAGAAGACTCAATTTACTTCAATCGGGTTATGTATTAGTATAGTTGAGTCTTTCAGTTCTATGTGCGTTACGAATTTACGATTAGTTATTTGATAATAAAATTTGAATTTGAGTCTTCTACCTCTATTTTTAGTAGGAGTCTTTGGAGTCTATGAATTTTCTTGTATGTCTGATAATCAGAAAGACTTGATTATTTGCTGAAATTTCACATTAGAGTTTGCATGGGATTTGCCTTGATGTGAGATCAATCCAATCTAGCTAACTGCGCCCCTTCCCAAGCCTTCTCCCTCCTTTTCCTCCTTGGTCGCCACCTCCCCAAGCCCCCATCCATATTTTCATTTAGAACCAAACAGTCCAATACCAAACAACCATCTTTGACCCTCCTTCTAGTTTGGCTGAACCTGTCCAGACCTCAAATGCCTTCATCCTCCTTTCAATACCCAGCACACTGCCCAAGAAACCTACACGCATCAATCCTCTGCTCAAAACTGCTAGCTGAAACCACACCAACCCCTATACCCTGACGGCCAGTCCTTCCCACCCCTATTCACCGCTAAAACTCATCCATTCCCTGCTCGCACCCCAAACACAGCACCATCACCTGAAAATGGTCCAAAAATCCTATCTCTTCTCATCCAACAGCCCTCAAAACTTTCTAAAGCTTCCAACCCTCCAACATCTAGATTCATCACCGGAACAGATTTTCATAATTTAAAGTTGATATTATTCCTATCTAGAAGTAAACTTCCAGCGATGCCGGTGAAGGAATCATCCATCTAACACTATTAAGGCTCAGAAGAAAGCTCGGTAGAGATCAAAACTTTTGTCAAGTTAACTATCATCTTATGACTGATTTCTTCACTGAATCTTGTAGTAGGTATGTTTCCATGTATAATTCGACACATAATTATCATCTTCGATGTATTTGCCTATGGTTCTTGCATGCTTTGCGTCTTAGCATACAGCATCGTCTCTTGTTTCACTAAATAGAGCATTCATATAGTCTAGATGTTTTAGGAATCTTGTCTAGTTGGTTTTTGTACTAGCGTTTGTGCTTATCTGATCACATTTAGTAGACCTACAGAACCTGTCGCCATGTTCCAGCATTCTGCTTTAACTTAACCACGAACTTATTTTGACTGATATAGCTAGCACTAAGAAGTCTAACACCCGCGTGCTCAATGAAGCATTTATGAAGATAGCTCAGCTCTTATAGGTACTACCGAGGTAATTATAGGTCCTTATCATAAAATGAAAATAAACTACTGTAAGTTCACAATTTTAAAGTAAAGAAATGAGCTTCTTTTAGGTGGAAAGGCAGAAGATAATGTTAAATCCTGAGCATTTTGATAGCAAACAGACAAATCGATACCTGTTCCAAGCTGGAGGTGCCATATCCAATATAAGATGATGTGAGCAGGGGCTGCACCAGGGACCATTTTTCATTCTCCAAAGCACTTGATAAAGGTTCCAGATATCTGCAAATAATCACACATTTGTCACATTCTCGAACTACAAAATAATATTATAGAAAACAGCTTAAGATGAGCAAATACAATAAAACTGGTTCTCACATGAAAAAATTGGGGAAAAGAAAATTTGACTCATACATATATCTAAAACATCATGAGGTATCAAACATCTTAAATCATCACTAACGACAAGACTTTTCCATCAAAGTAGAGAAAGCTCCACTAAAGAACTTGACCTGGCTTTTACAACATTATCCCCACATAAATATTGTAGGAGTTGGTGCCAAAAAGTATCTCTTAAAGTCCCTAACCATTACACTAAAACTCCGAAGTAATGGTGAGGTTCAGAGTTATATTTTTATGTTCTAACATGCCCCCGTAGGTTTAGCGTCCTATTTATGGGTTGAAACTTGGACTCACATAATGATATTAATTTTCTTTTTAAATCTGCATTAAATTCGTGGCTAGTGGGATTCAGACCTGGGTTGGCTCTGATACCATCTTAAAATCCCTTACTATTATACTAAAAACTCCGAATCTGTGGTGAGGGTTGAGAGTTATACTTTTATATTCTAATAGTATCTATGATCAGGAGAGACCCATACTCAGTTGCCAAAAGTCCATCTGTCAGTCCACCAATAAAAATGACTTGCTGGTTGAAGTCACCCGTCCTAAAGGCCACCTGCAGAAGCAAATAATTTTTTAACTGATAATTAAAGAAGAGAGAGTACTTAGAGTTGTTATTGAAAAATGAAGACAAAGTGTTTTATTCAGCTGACTATTATGTCTGCTTTTGATTAATTGATGATTATCAATTCTGGGACTTTGCTCGATAGAGATGTAGGTCGATTTCACACACAACTAATTGATCTCATTTTAAAGGATTAGAAAAAATTTTGCAAAACTAATGACAGTGGAATTTGCATGTGATAGGCATATTAGTAGTGTTCTTGTGACACAATATAGCTAGACGGATCAGTAAAAAATATCAACTTAAGGAACAGCAAGAAAACTTGAGAAAGATGTGATGTAAGGCATGGACTATTATAATTCATAGAAAATTGAAAAGAGTAAGGGTTGGGCAAGAACAAAATAGGTGAAATTGACAAGGAGATGGCATGACTGCTTCATGCAAGATAACATTAGGCACTTCTTGTCTCTCTAGCATGTGACCAGACATAATATCTGAATAGGGAAAGGAGCTTATTTAAACATCAAGTTGGCTGCATAATCTTCTGTTTTAATCACCAAACCTATAAGACTAATCAAGCTATCCATTTTAACCTGATAAACTAGACCATTTTTTACAGTTGCTCCCTTCAGGTCGCAAAATACACAAGGTGTCGTATATCATAATAGCAATTAGATAACTTTGTTCTATCTTATACAAACTTTTCATTTGCAATCTGAAATGCTAGTTTACAGCACTTCCACTTCACATAAAAAACAGGTTTCATAACTTTCAAGCCCACCAATTTGATTAACATGGTTTTCTCTTTTTTATTTTTTTGGTTAAATTGAATGCAACTCCTCTCATCTATACTTTAATTGCACTTAAACCCCTCAACTCAGTACTTAGCACCTCCGAAATGCTATTCTCTTTAAAGATAAATTGCAAGTTACACCCCCTCTTCTTCATGAATTGAGGGAGGCTAAGTGGTAATAAATGGGTTGAGGGGGTTTAGTGCAACTAAAGGTACAGATAGGGGGCTAATGTGCAATTTACCCTTCTTTTTGTTATCAAAACCTTTAAAACTCTAAGTTTGGATGGCAATAAAGGTTGTCCGCTGATTAAATCTTAATTCTTCGCTATCAAAATTTATGCTGTTCTAGTATACGAAATTTCCTGTTCAAATATGATTTCTCCACTATAACAATTATTTCCAAACCCTCCAAGTTAACTGACCTGCTTTTCTAACAAGATTTCTACTAAATACCTCAACAAGATTTGATCCTCAATCAATTCTTGTATAAGTCACATCTACTTTAAGCCAACATGAACTTAGGGAACTGTGTTGCTCTGGCTATTTCCATGGATCACATTCTCAACATCTAATAAACTCCACTCAAGGTCGGACGGATGTACATTGAATGGTTTGGGGGCACATGCCCCCATATATATTATAAGGCCTTCTTCCTTTTCGATGAAAAACAATTATTTTTATTTGCCTACTATAGTAAACCTGATCGATTAACTAGTCTCGTTTTTCCTTAAAATGAATTGTGTGAATAAGATATTGATGGTTGTGCTACAAATATCACCAAACTATGTTGTCAAATCAACATTCACCTTCAATTTTGCTGTTATTTAGCTATTAGAAACTTAAAATTGCAAGAGGATGTGTCTCTTGCTCTTGCCTTTACATGAAAAATAAATGAAAATCATTTAAACTGAAAACACATTCCATTCCTCATAAGCTACTACTTAAATAGTAAAGTGGAGAAGCAAAGGAGAAGGCGGAGGAGGAAGAATGATGAAATAGCATCAAGTCTATACTCCAGTACTAAGATATAATTTAAAACCTTGTATTTAGTTGATTTCAAATTTCATGAGGAGAAGAGTTAATAGATGTTCTTACTTCTTAGATATCCAATATGATTGTGTTGTGAATTTATATTAAGGTCTATGTAATAGAGAGTGAAAAAAGTCTAAATGTGGCACATCACTATGTTATACCATGCATCCTAAAGGAACGAACACATATAAGGATATAAGTGAGCTTCTACCATTGCCAAGTATTACTTTGAGAGATGCTATGTGATTGAAGTACCCATGCTTGACACGTAGGCAAAACTGGTTTCATACATGGGTCTTTGCCATCACATAAACTGTATTATTCTTCAACGTTGCAATTGGGGCATGACAGTAGAATGGCATAGGAGCCTGGTTATCCAACAACTAGTCTTTAACAATTATTCTTGTCATGCCCTTGCTTGTGACCAACATCGCACTTCCCAATCTGTTGTTTACAAGATTGCTCCACCTTCCACACCATATTTTGTTTCACTAATCCTTGTTCGTTCCACTACTGCCATTTGACTAGAAACGCATCTTCGAAAAGGTATTGCTAACCTCATTCGTTGGCATTGCATCCATTTTATTTTCTCAACTATTAAGGCCTTTTTCAGCACTTCCCTATAGGTAGTAGAAAGTTCGAATGAACTTATTGTTTCCTTAATAACAAGTCAAAGTTCCTCCTCAAAGTGGAAAACTCTCTCTTCTTCCTTAGCGGCAAACTTTGACAAGTAAACTCCTCTTCATACTTAGCTATTGTTTTATCATCTTGCTCTAATTTTCTAAATTATTGCAGTGCACCTTAATGGGTTCTTTAAACTCAGCTAATAACATGTGATACAAAGCTTTAGATATCGGACTTGTGTCCGGCACTAAGTCGATTGAAAATTCATTCTCCCTATCAAGGTAAGCCTTAAAATCAATTCACAACACAATCTCATTAGATATATAAGATCATCTACAATTCTTCAACTCTGCATGAAATTTCAAACTAACTAAGTATAAGAGTTTTAACTTATACCTTACTATCGGGGTATAAGTTTGATGCTATTTATTTAGTCCTCCTCCCTCCTTCTTTGCTTCTCTACTTCACCTTACCATTAACTAGTAGCTTAAGAGGAATGGAGAAAAGAGTTAAGAGAAACCAAAAAAGAAATGGGTTCTGGTTTTCGAAGATTTCTATTTATTTTTCATGGAGATGCAAGAGCAAGAGACACGTCCTCTTGCAACCTTTAGTATCCAATAGCTAAGAGCTAGCAAAACTCAAAGTGAACGTAGGCTTGATAACATGGCTTTGTGATACCTGGTCAATATCATATTCACGCAGAATTCTATTTAAGAGAAAATAAGATCAGTTAATTGTTTAGGGTCACTACATCTAAAAATTCTAATAAGTGTCCCCGACAATATTAATTTGGTGTCCTCTGAAACTATTGTAAATTACAGTCTATTACTTTAACTTAGCGCTAAAAATCAAGACAACCTTCTACAAGCTGCCCAAATTACTTAAATTATAAAGTTATTAAGGGGATGCGTTCAGATCTTTGTCATTATTATAGAAATAAGCTTTTCTATTGATAGAATTTAGGACAAATATTTGAAATAGATCAATTCCAATAGTTGCTTATCAAAATTAACCTATTTACTATTCATTTAGCAAAATTGACCAACTTTTAGTCACATCAACTATTTTATCTGAAAGTTGGTCGATTTCAAAAAAAGAAAATTTATTAATCACCCTGAATTGCTAATCCTGAGTAATTAGCATTTTCTTAACTGATCTTCACTAAACATACGGGATTAACAATCCTGCATTTTTATTTTTCATTCCTTTCCTCTTTCTACATGCGTCCAGTACTCAAAAAGAGAAGAAAATAAACCCTTCTAGTTCTCACTCTATCCATTTCCAACAAATCCATGGAGAAGCCAACAGAACTGTCAATGCCACAACTGGACAACAGCGAGGTCGAGAAGGTCTTCAAGCACTTCAACGAGAATGATGATGGAAAAGTCACCTTGTTCGACCTTTGGCAAGATTGACAATGGTAAGATATCCCTGTTCGAGCTTGGCAAGACCGTCTGCGCCCTCAAAACCAAAACCACTGAGCAGGAAAGATATAGCACATGTTCTAATGGATGATGCCATCAATGGTCATTGCTTCCTTCTTGGATCATTACCTAAGTTTTCAACCCTTCTCTCTGCCCATTATTTTCTCAACTCTCCATTCTTAGAAATAAAAGAACTGAAGGAGGGATAAAAGCGAACGTACAAGATTGTCAATCCTCTATGTTTAGTGGAAGGTGATTTTTGACAGTGCTACTCGAGATTGCCAATCTTGGGAAATAAAAAAATCTGCTTCTTTTAAAAATTAACCAACTTTCAGCCAAAGATGCTGATGTGGTGAAAGTTGGTCAATTTTGCAAAATAAATAGTACATGGATCGATTATGTTAATTAAATATTGGAATTTGTCTATATCAAAAATTTGTTCTAGAATTCATATTATATATAAGTTTTTAATTTATACATACCATTATATATGTACCTCCACAGGGTAAAAAAAATCTGAATACATCCCTGACCCCACTATTTTAAGCTAATCATTCTTTTGAAATAGCAAGCTCAAACATTAAGAGAATCCTTCCGCTGATCGATGTTATGAATCCTAAAAAAGGAGGAAGTTCACCAAGATATATAAAAAAAAACAACAAACGAAAATTTTCTCTTCATCATCCTCAGCTAACTTAAATCTTCACTTTGCAGTATCAAATATAACACGAATCCCGAATACCTCTACTTACAGGTCAATCCAACTGAAATAGGTAGATTCCAGATAAAACAATATATCCATTCATGTTACAAACTGAAATTCTGGCACTGGATCGACGATGAACTGAATATTCGACGGTACAAATTGAAGCAAAAAAGAAAGAGAACCAAAAAAAAATCAAGAAGTAGCAGAAAATAGAACGACGACTACCTGAGCGGGCTTAGGGCCGTACTTGAGAAGAACTCCACGAAGCTCGCCGGCGATGGGGTTCGCCTGCGCGGTTCTGAGGGAAGAGGCGGAGGCGTCGAGCTTGCCGGAGCGGCCGCGGACGAAGCCGGAGAACCAAGAGCCGGAGGAGGTCGACGAGGAGGAGGAAGACGAAGCTGCGGTCGAGGGATTCATTGAGATCGAGATCTCAATCTTTCGATTTTGATTTTATTTTTGTGTTTATGCGCCCGTGTGATTTTGGACAGAACACGGGGAGTAGGAATCGCCAGAGGGTGCTTTGACGACTTGGGGGATGAACAAAGCGGTGAAGGGAGTTTATGAGAGTAAAATTACTTGTAGGTCCTTGGTTTGATAAAGATTTGACTTGGGGGATGAACAAAGCGGTGAAGGGAGTTTATAAGAAAAGAGCTTTTTGTCCCTTTTTGTTTTAGAGCCGTACCAAAGAATATCCAATTTATGAGTTTTAATATGACTCCTTTTATCTTGGATTTAATTTTGAGCTTGGTTATCAAATAGAAGAAGAAAAAAAGAACTGCCCATTTATTTTTAAAAACAAGAGGAAAAAGTATTTGCACGTGGTCATTAGCGCTACTTTGAAGTATTTGCTTAGATTAATATGTGTTATTCCTTGTTTTCCTAAGTAGGCTCACTTGTCACTATACCTAACTCATTGCACGATTTTATGATTTAATTCGAAGCCGATATAGGATTTACTTTTGGTACAAATCCGGATGTGGATACATTTCAAACAAAAAAAAAGCCATTCACATATATTACGCATGAATGCGTGATGTAGAAAATAAGAATAATTATGTTTTCCTCATACAAGTGAAAGTGAATACACATTTAAACGTAGACGATAAGGTACACACAAATACGTGTTTTTACTTACTACTATGGTGCACATGCGTTTCACGTGTATCCATTTTCATGTTTATATGTAGGCTATAAGTGCGCATTGCAATGATAATTTTATATATCTAATGTATATTTTTATTATATAATAGTATTTCAAATCAGTTTTATTTGCATTCGACACTTTATTAGATATCAAATCGGTTTTTCCAATCATAAAATTAATACATTCTATTTAGGGTAAATTTCACAAATGCCTCACGATAAACCCCTCGAATTTTTAAAATGTCACAAAACCACTTTAAGTTTTTGGGTTCTCAAAAAACCACATTCAAATCTAAAAGCGTGAAATACAATTTTTATTGGCAAAAAAATCACCCTGCATAATTTTACCCACTTGTGAAAAAATACAAAGTAAGCGTTAATGCCATTAAGAAGGATTTTTTTAAATTGTTGAAAGTTTAAGGGGATTTATTGAGATCGCCAAAGCTCTGGGGGATTTTATGACATTTTACAAGTTAGTGGTATTATTATCTAATAAATGCCCAAATTTAAGGGGTTTTCTCATAGGCTAAGAAACATTGAAATGCCTTATAGTTTCACCTACTTTTCATTTATACACCTCAAGTTGTAAAAGCATTATATGCCCAAGTTGTTTAAACATAGATAATTAGTATATTATCATATCATATCATATCATACTCCCTTTAAAAAAAGGAGTTGTGGAAAAACTTTCCAATGACTATATTACCCATATTCTTTTTTGATATTACATTCTAATATTAACTAAACTAAATTAATTATTAATGTTAATTAATTATATTATATGTCACTTTAAATTTGTATAATTTGGTCCCTAAAACTCATAACGTTATTGTAAAACTCTACATGATATTAACTATTAGTAATGTATAATAATATATTAATAGATAATTGCATGTTAATAAAGTATTTATGAAAAGAATAAAAAACATAGAATTGTCCTAAAATTATATCATGACACTCATAAAGGAAAATTACAAAGAGCATTCTTATGTTTAGGTAACAGGACAGAAGGTACAAGTATAAAATTTTAGAAAGTATTAGGATATTTAAGTGTAGCAAGATACACTATCTTAAATTTAAAAAGAAAAGTGTAGCAAGATACAAGTGGAGTTATATAAGTATTATTTTGGTAAATTATAAGGCATATAAGTTCAGTTAAGCCTATAAAAGATTTGAAGCATTTGTTATCTACATACAATAATATATGATCTCATTAATAAATAATATTCATCATACAATATGAGGCCACATGCATAGCTTATATTTATATAGTAAAGGAGATGTGAAAAAATTAAAGCATCATATTTTGAATGAGTCTCAAGATTTTGAATTATTTTCTAAAATTATATACTTCGCTTAGAAAACTTCAAAAGAGGCTTTCGAATGACTACTACAAAGTGTTGGATATCGGATAAATATTGAACAAATAAAATCCACAATATCGGACTGTAAAAATCAGGGATATGTAAATAATACTGAGTGTCATATGAGATAATATTCATACATAACATTATATTGTAATATGTAATCTAACATATTAATAAATTTTAAACATAAGAATTTACATCAATGCTTAAGATTTGGGAGAGCCGAGAGTGGAGAGATTTGGGAGAAGAATTGTGGCCTTTGTGTGTTTTGTGGGCTCTAATTTTGTTTCCCAAACACGATCCAAACCCGAGCCCACAATCAAATTAAAAATAACACGATTTCTCGATATCTTCAAAGAGATATATCGGCCATATTTTTAATAACGGTCGATATTAAAAAAATTACCAAACAAAAGAAAATAGTATAAAATATTATCGAGATAAAGTCTTTAACTCGATATATTAGCTGATATAGCAATATATCCACCGATATTTAATACAATGCCTGTAAGCGCAAATATGTAAATGTTATTTAGATATTAGTTTCTTGACTTTAAATGTCTCATAATTCTATGTTATTCCCTCAAAATTTTAAAATTGCTCATAATTTTAGGGACTAATATTAAATTATTAAAGTTTTGACAGAGAAAGTATAAAGTCATATTTAAAAGAAGAGTTAATTTTTAAAAAACCCTCTCAACTATAGGGATTGTCTTAAAAACCCACTCAACTAATTCAATTTGACAAAACCCCTTATTCTGAGGGATGTTATAAATAACCCCTCTTAATTTTGGTGTAATTTTAGAAAACACCTATCAACTATAGCGTGTCTCATAATAACTCCCCTAATCTTTTACACTTCTATCAACAAACTCCCTTAACGTAGTTACTTCAATATGTGATTTGGACAAAATACTATATTGAAGAAATCAATTTAATAAAAAAAGACCCTAAAGTGATAATAAAAGGACCATAACCAATTTACAATTATTTTCCCTCTATATCACCTCTTTTTCTTTCATCCGGGGAAAAGCCAAGATAATTCCTTTATGGTTGATGGATATTTTGGTCTTTTCAAATCAAGTACTTATCACATAATAGATAAGACATAATAATATTAGTTTTGAGAGGTTAAGTTTAAGTGAGACAAGTCCACAGGGATAAAATAAAAAAAATTAAGCTGAGATAGATTATCTACAAAATACCCAAAACTTGACAGAGATTTACTTAGTTTTAAATAGGGGGGGGGGAGGGGCGGAGTAGGTTGACATGCCCCCAATAGTTGAGGTGGAGTTTTCTAAAATTAAATCTTAAACAAAAGCACAACTTAAGGCGCATGTGACATCAATTTTATATGAGTGGAGTTTATAGCAAGTATATCACTCAATGAACTGGTTTGAGTTATTTGTCCTTAAATTTATCCTACACATCAACTCAAAAAAAGTTTTGTTATAAGAATCTCTAAGAGAAATTTAATATTTATTTGGGATGGATATGTGATCCTTCTGATTCCTCTTGTCTTTCATGATTTGTAATAAATTAGTTGACAAAATAAATTAAGTTGTTATTTTATATTACTCGTCTTCTTATAAGTTTATGAAGCTCATAGCTTGGACATGAATATTGTTGTAGATATTGTATTCTTCTAACTCCTTAAGCTAAACCTTTGGATGATCTTTGATATTGGATAAATATGAATTATTTTATTAAAATACAATCAATATGAATGCATAATATGTATAAATTATTCTCAAACTATATTTTATAATTTTTTAAAACTAGAGAGTAATCATTTTGATAAATCAATTAGTAATTGGAAAGATATAAAAAGAGTACAACGTCATATTTTGGAATTGATCAAATAATTTATATTTTATTTCTTGATTGAATTTGCACATTCTATTAGAAAATTCTAGAAAAATTTTCTTTAATATCTATAATGCTCGATCGTCGGATAAACAACAATGAAAATAAACAACAAGTGGAAGTGATTTTTTTATAACTGAACAAAATCCTTAATGACTAGATAAAACTACTATTTTCTTTGATGAATTCAAGAATTTATTTTTTCCATTAATAATTATAGTTTTTTTAGTATTGGTCCCTTACATCATTAATATTTGGAAATTATACATTCAAATTACTAATCAATCTTAAATTATTAATATTTTAAGGCTTTAAGCGTAACTATTTATCTGAAAGATAAAATGTTAAAGCCACACATGAAAATATCTAAAAAAAGTTAATAATTTAATATATTATAATTATAAAGTTTTTTTTACAATCATGTTATAGTAAATAAATAAACTTAAAGTAAATAACTAAATTATCTGACCACGTTCAGTGCACGTACATTCCACCTAATGTTACTTAAATGTCCTAGTATTCGCATGTGCTACTCACATGTCAAGTATAGTTTTGTTTTACCCTTATTGATTGTTGTATTTACATTTTTACCTACCTTGTTACTATAGGAGGAGGTTAATTTCAGCCAAGGGTAATTTGGTCTTAACCTTAAAAATTAACTCTATTTAAAAACTTTAATGGAGAAATTTGTATCCTTAACATATATGTTTCTCCTTCATTACCTTGTTCTTGACTAAATTGAAGTTGAGCTATGATTTAATATTTTGCAAGAAATAGCATTCGTAAAAAAGAAACTTATAACACGAATTAAGAAATTTCGTTAGCTAATAATTTGTTTTGATAAATCCCAAGAGATGTATGGTCTAATTCTTCTCCTCCCATTGTCATGCCATTCATTAGCCTTTGAGATGATACTTTAAGGTTTTGAAGTTTATTACTAATCCATTGTTCACATAATTTTACTAGACTAACAGCCAATTTAGTAATCAAATTATTCTTGACTTACTATTATGCCCAAAAACTTATGATATGAGTAGATATATGTAGGAAAAGATAGTCTTATATCTCTCCTCTCATTGCCCAGTTATCGATCTAGATTGACATTAAGCAATAGTTTAATGGATTGCATTAAACAACATTGCTACAGAAGAGATTATTTTATAATAAACCTAATAACTCAAGTTCAAGA